GTGAATGTATTACAATTTTATAAACGAAACCTTTTTCAGTCAGCTAAATTTACAATTTTCTTTAATACATATTTTCATATTTAAAAAATATTTTCGAGTTGTTTTAGTAAAATTTTAATCCCGGATCTGTTAGAAATACTGAAAATCGCGATCCCTTTAATATTAAAAAAAAATTATGAAAGTGAAGCTACAAATATCAGATTTGTATTATAAATTGAAACTATCTAACTTATGAAGATATCATTGACTAAAACTACTAAGAACTACTACTGACTATCATTGACAGAAAGTGGTATTAAATTTTAAAGATTTTTATAGCAAACAGTTGAAGGTATTCATCACTTAATACAGACTGTGACTATAAGCAATTGAGACTTCATAGATTTCTATAGAGAACTGTACGCTATCAATTGACTAAAAGAGCAGCTTGGAGTAATTATTGACTGCAATTACCAGGTTGAAGTTCTCAGGTTGATTGATTGATTACCAGTACATGATGAGAACTACACGAAAAATCAGTTCGTCAATCATTAAGAGACATTTCTGTCACTTTGAGACACGGGACACTTTTTCCGTAGAATTTTAGTTAATTTTCAAATATTTTTAACTGAATTTTTTAAAAGTAAAGAATTTATCGAATACTATACGAGTGTGCGCAACTTTATTAAACGTTTACGAATCATTAGTGAAAAGTTTGTGAAACGTTAGTTGACTTTATAATTTTTTGAATAATTAAAAAGTGATGTTCGGTGCAAAATCTTTTTTCGAAAATGATGAAAAATCTCGTCATGTAGTATATAAGAACAGTGACTTTCAGTGTTATAAGCGTGCGTTTTTATATGTAGTTTTTAAGTATTTCTAATTCGTAAATGTGTATTGGTTTAAAGTGTAAAAAGTATCGAACTATGCAACGAGAAAGTGTATTAATTCTGTGCCAATAAGTTTTTGAAATTACTAATAGTGAAAAAAAATTTTTTTTTTTTGTTATTTATCAGAAAGTGTATTATTATTCAGTGCCAAGCAGTGTTTGAAATTACTAATAATTGTGAAAAAAAAAAATGTTGTTTGATTATTCATCAGAAAGTGTATTATTATTCTGTGACAATCAGTGTTTGAAATTACTAATAATTGTGAAAAAAATTAAATTTTTTTTTTTGTTATTTATCAGAGACTTTTAATCTTTAAACGATTTTATGTCCCGTCTCAAAATGACAGACTATTCTGTTAGTGATTGACGAAATTATTTTTTCCGTGTAGAATTCCATATATCATGACTCGAAACCATCAATAATAATCTGAAGCTATCACACGACTGGAAAACCAGCTTGGTGCTGCCAATGTTTGCGTCGAACAGCATATTGATAGGTCTTTCCTGTAGTTATAGAAGTTCTCATTGCTTAAGACTTCAGCAAATGATGTTTAATACGTTTACGTTTATCATCCTTTTGTCTGCAAATACCAACAACTGAAGCTATATATCATTGACTGAAACTGATAACAAATGACGGTACTGTTTTATCTGTATAATTGTAGCTTCAATTTTAGGTTAAAAAATTCTGTTCCGAAAGTGTTTGAAACTCCTGTAATCGCGATCGTTCAAAATTCTAGAAGAAGTAATTTGGTTATTAATAATATAATAATTATAATTATTATTAATAATAATGATTAATAACAATAATTAATAATAAGAGGTAATAATACATAATAGGTAATAAATACAAATAGTTGTAAACATAGCTTCAAAAGATTCAAACAAATATAATTTATTATCAATTAAATAATTGTAACTTTTATTAAAAAAGAAATGAAATTAAAGCTGTAAGATAATATTTCTAAAAATTAATTTAAACTACTGTAGCTATTAAATCAATCATTGACTGAAAATATCACTGACAGAAACTAAATTTAAAGTTATTTTTTAATAAACAGTATTACTATGAATTAAAACAGACTGTAACTATAAGGACAATTAGAACTTGAGAGATTTCTAGTAACTGAAGCTATCAATTGACTGAAAGAACAGCTTGGTTCAATCAGATTAATTGATAATCAGTGCTAGATGTGCTTTATGCTTAAGAAATCGCAACTCGAAATCATTTTACAATCTGAAGCTATAACATAACTGGAAAACCAGTTTTGTGCTGCCAATGTCTGTGTCGAACAGCATTTTGAGATCCTTCAGTTACTAGTAGTTGAAGTTCTTATTGCCAAAGACATTAACAGTAAAATCTATCATTGATAGAAAATACTATTAAATTTTTAAGTTATTTTTTAGCAATCAGTTGAAGGTATTCATCACTTAATACAGACTGTGACTATAAGCATTTGAGACTTCATTGATTTCTAGAGAGAACTGTACGCTACAAATTGACTAAAAGAGCAGCTTGGAGTAATTATTGACTGCAATTACCAGGTTGAAGTTCTCAGATTGATTGATTGATTACCAGTACTTGATGAGAACAAAACGAAAAAAATAAGTTCGTCAATCATTAAGAGACATTTGTCATTTTGAGACGGGACACTTTTTCCGTAGAATTTTAGTTAATTTTCAAATATTTTTAACTGAATTTTTTAAAAGTAAAGAATTTATCGAATCCTATACGAGTGTCCGCAACTGTATTAAACGTTTACGAATCATTAGTGAAAAGTCTGTGAAACGTTAGTTGACTTTATAATTTTCTGAATAATTAAAAAGTGATGTTCGGTGCAAAATCTTTTCTCGAAAATGATGAATAATTTCGTCATGTGGTATATAAGAACAGTGACTTTCAGTGTTATAAGCGTGCGTTTTTATGTGTAGTTTTTAAGTATTTTTAATTCGTAAATGTGTGTTGGTTTAAAGTGTAAAAAATATCGAACTATGCAACGAGAAAGTGTATTATCATTCTGTGCCAATAAGTTTTTGAAATTACTAATTGTGTTTAAAAAAATTTTTTTTTTTTGCTTATTTATCAGAAAGTGTATTATTATTCAGTGCCAAGCAGTGTTTAAAATTACTAATAATTGTGAAAAAAAAATAATTTTTTTTTTATTATTTATCAGAAAGTGTATTATTATTCTGTGCCAATCAGTGTTTGAAATTACTAATAATTGTGAAAAAAATTAAATTTTTTTTTTTTGTTATTTATCAGAGACTTTTAATCTTTAAACGATTTTATGTTCCGTCTCAAAGTGACAGACTATTCTGTTAGTGATTGACGAACTTATTTTTTCCGTGTAGAATTCCATATATCATGACTCGAAACCATCAATAATAATCTGAAGCTATCACACGACTGGAAAACCAGCTTGGTGCTGCCAATGTCTGCGTCGAATAGCATATTGATAGGTCTTTCCTGTAGTTATAGAAGTTCTCATTGCTTAAGACTTCAGCAAATGATGTTTAATACGTTTACGTTTATCATCCTTTTGTCTGCAAATACCAACAACTGAAGCTATACATAATTGACTGAAACTTTACATCATTGACTGAAACCTCATGCCATTGACTAAAACAATATTAAGTAAATTTGAAGCTACCATTAATTGAAACTACCGACTTTTGAAGCTATTGTTTATATTTGTCTGTAATTGAAACTATGAACATTTGAAGTTAGTGTCAGTTTTTTAGCTTTAAATTGAATCTACAAATCTCATGTAAATGAAAAATAAAAATAATATTTAAAAAACACTAATAGAAAATATAGTAAGGCGTTAGAAAAATATTACATTAATTTGTTTAAACTATTTTAAAGATAATTAAATTATCTTCTAAAAGCGTTATAGTTACTGTTTAGACTTTCAATTAATTTGTAATTAAAAAAAATAGAAAAATATCTACAAGAATTGCTCTCTATATTTTTTGTAATTGAACTTTCCAGACCTATGTGTTTGTTTTATTTTTATTATGAAAATTCTGTTTAATTTAATAAATATTCTTTTAAGGGACCTTTTGTATTTTAAATGTTATTATTGAGCATGTTAGTTTTTAATTTATGAAATATTAATAACGAAATGTTAAAATTTGTTATTTACTGCAAATAGAAAAAAAATAGAAATAAAAAAAAATCTTACGAAAAAAGTCCGACTTAGGTGATCATAAACTATAACACAAAAAGAATTTTTTTTCTTCTAAACCAGAAATGAGAGTATGCAAGAGTTAGGGTTGAAAAAAACTGCAGAAAAATAGGTTACTCTATCATAACTAACATTTATTATAATTAATCGAGAAAATAAAAATAATAGTTCACAACTGCTACCAATTATTAAAGTAATCATTAGTTATACCTACACTGAAAAAAAAATTTATTTGATTAAAATAATCGGTTTACTTGACTATTATCAAATAAATATTTATTTGGATCAAATAATTTTTATTTGAATTAAATAAGTGTAATTGAAATATATGCACTTTACAAATTTTTAAACCCTGTTTATCTCATACATGTATTACTTGTAATTTAATTGTAATTTTATTTGTATTTTATTTTTATATTATTTTTATATTATTTGTACATTATTTGTATATTATTTGTATTTTATTTACCTATTATTTGTATATTATGTATTTGCATTTAATTTGTATTTTATTTGTAATTTATTTGTAATTTATTTGTGATTTATTTGTGATTTACTTGTGATTTATTTGTATTTTATTTGTAATTTATTTGTGATTTATTTGTGATTTATTTGTGATTTACTTGTGATTTATTTGTATTTTATTTGTAAGTAATTTGTATTTTCTTTGTACTTTATTTGTATTTTATTTGTATTTTAGTAGTATAAGGAATTAGATTGTACAAAATATGTAATACTATATAAATAAAACAAAAAATTCTATTCTTTTTTTTTATAAATATTTGCTAATAGTCAAGTAACCGATTATTCGAATCAAATAATAATTTTTTTTAAAATATTAATAATTATAATTAGCATTACAATTAATCTTTAAATATGCGAATAACCCGACCTCTTCATACTCTCTTAATACTTAAAATTAAAAATTTCTTTATTTTAACACGTACTTTGGCATTTCTATTATATTTAAAATTACAAAAATGTCGGAAACATAATTTTAAGAATGCCCCAACTTTTTTAAACATTTGATTGAGAAAACAAGTCAAATTGCAGAGCAATTTCCAAAACTTAGAAAACAAATTCGAGCTCCCTGCTGACAGAGATGATAATCTTTGAAAGGTAGACTTAAAATTGAATCAAGTAATTTGAGTATTTTTAAATAATACCTGAGTGCTTGTTCATAATCGCTTTGTTCTAAATTGTGCGACGCTAATCGAAATAGAGAATCCGTATCTTGTAGTGCTTTCAATCCTTTTAAAATATTTGTACTTTTTCCACATTTAATACATGACATCATAAATTCGTTTGTGTCCGTTTTCACTGGTAGAATATTATCGCAGAATTCAGTTTCACATTTAAACCTTTAAAAAAATCAGTTATTTTATATTAGAACTGTGTCTATACTAATTGAAATTAGAAAAAAATATTCATGTAATTTCCAATTGATGGAAATTATTTCAATTATTTACATATAAAAAAAATTGATTTACATATAAATAGGAAACATGCCCATGCAGGTTTTAAAAGATCAAAATATTTTACGACAAATGATAAAATCTGGAAATAATTTTTTAAAAAACTAATTTAAAAAAAATAATGGGGGTCATATTCTAATCTAAAATTGATAAAATTATATTTTTACATTAATTTACTCTCCCTGGAAATGTTTGGTACTTCCAAACTATTGTAATGCCTGAAAAATGAAAAATGACGACACATCACATTGAATTTATTAGTAAAAATTAGTAAACATATTCATTTTTAAAATTTTGTTATTTATATTCAAAATAAATTATAGAAATTAGCGCCTTGTAATTAACAAATATTAAATATCTTAAACATATAGAATTGTTAATAACAAATATATTAGAACATTCAAAGATTTCTTGAAATTAATTTAATTTTATTTTATTCATATTAATTAAATGAAATTAATTTTTTTGAAATAATAAAATACTTTTAATGAACGTAAAAATAGAAAATTAGTACAAAATTAGAGTTCATATTGCAAAAAATAAAAAACAAATAACAAATGACAATTGGAAATAAATAAATTTTTAATAATTAGAAGAAAATTCTTTTTTTACCTGAAAATTCGAGGATCAATATCAACTAAAAGTGGCCAATGACCACTGCACGCTTCGCAATTACAATCAAACCAATATTGCATTCTTAATTTTCTTTTTCGTTCCATTTCTGACATTTCAGCGAAAATTGGTCCATAATTATCATTAATTTCCGTGCCTGTTTTAATAGTTCTTATTGCTCTCACAATCATCGTTGTTCCTATAAAATATCTGCAAAAAATTCAAAAAAAAGTAGGTAATAATTTTTATATTTAATTTATTTTACTAATTTTATTTAAAAATTATACATTATTGTTAAATAATGTAAACTTTTAATTTAATTTATTTAGATGAAAAAAATATAGAAATGGAATTTAAATCATTAACGCAAAAATTAAATTTTATTTCACTCAAAATTAAATCTTACTAATAATTATAATTTCATCTAAATTGTTTCTTACGTTAAATCATAATTTCATGAAATCAGTTATGTCATTTTAATTGCAAATATACTGAGAATTCCCAACGGGGAAATAATTTTCACTGGAAATTAAATTCGCATAATTATGAAAAATCGAATTAAATTTTTTTTTTTAAATCTAATTAATTTTGTTATTTTTGGTAAAACTTGAGGGAAAAAAGGATTTTTATTTACCTGATGACACCAGGATTGCATGAATGATTTAAAAGAGCAATTGAAGGAAATGAACCACCGCCAATAAATAAATTCTTCGACTTAGATAAATTTTTCTCGCCTTTTAATTTTACGAGCTCAGAAATCTGTTAGAAAAAAAGAAAATAAAAGAATGAAAATTACAGAAAATAAATCTCTCTTCCTATTTTTCCATACAAAATTATATACCTCGTGCGCATTAAATTGCAGCAATTGTAAATTATGAAGTATTAAGTGTCCAATGAAAAGTTCTTCGTTAGAAAGCAAATCTTCTGATGTATCCGGAGTTTTAATATTTTCAGGAAAATAAGACGTTGTCTTTAAGAGTCTTAATAGCCAACATGCCATAAATGTACGATGAAAAATATCCTCAACTGTTCTTTTATCCTCATGGGACACTGAAAATTTAAAGAAAATGAAAATTTGTTCATTTTTGTTTTTAAATACAAAATTTAATTTTTTTTACCCATTCCATAAAGTGATTCATAATCAGACCCTTTATAAGGTTGTATTTTCGAACCGACATATTTTTCATTTAATTTCTCTTCCAATTTAATTAGTTCGTTTAAAGGTCGTTGAGTAATTGCTCTTAATGCTAATAAACATGTCACGGACATGCCAGAACTCCACAATGGTCCTAATATTTTACATTCTATCGAGTGTAAATTTTTATCTGAATTTCTACAATTTATTGAACAATATGCAATCGAACTGCAACAATAGGCTGGTATTGGAGCTAAAATTCTCTCCAAACAAAAATGACAATGACTCAATCTGTAAATTTTAAATTATTTCAAAAAAAATTCTATTTACAAAAAGTTTAATTTAAAAATTAATAATATAAATAGCCAATTAAGTAAAAATAATTATAAATAATTTACCTGTACTCTCCTAGTAAAATAGCGCAATGAGCTTTTTCAACGGCGATAATTTCCCCGGGAGCAATGTCCCTTGTGGCAATGGCAAATCTTCCAATTTCACCACCTGCGTCTTTAATTTCAACAGCATTACTAAATGCCGGATATGATAAATTTATATCCTTTGTTTTTGGTAACTGTGATTTTTTTGTCAATTTTGTCTTAATTTTTTTCGTTATTAATTTATTATTATTTTCATTGAGTTTTGCTCCTCTTTCCATAATTGCCAACATTACTCTAATGTCAGATTCTAATTTTTGTTTTTTCTCCAGTGGAATTTTTGCATAGTCGAGAGCTTTTAAAGCACTTTTAAATGCATCCATTGCTTTTGAATGTTCCTCTAATGCCAATAAACATCTTGCTCGTCTATCATCTAATTTATAAAGTAATTCTTTTGAATATCCCATTTTTACAGCTTCCTCTGCATCAATTATTGCCAATTCATAATCATTCAAATGATATAAAGCCGCCGAACGATTACCATAAAGAATTGCCAAATCTGAAAAATTGAAATAATTTTTGTTTTCACAGTATTTAAAATTTTTTTTTTTTATTAAATACAAATAAAAATGTTCACGTTACCTTCTCGTGGTGCTAAAATGATGGCATTGGAATATTTTGACAATGCTTTTTCAAAATTTCCACAACCAAAAAATTTATTTCCTTCATTTTTTAATTTCAAACATTTTATTGAATTTTTTTTACATTCCTGATCGTCAATTTCAAATGTGAGTCGACGTGCCTCTGGATAATTCATTAAAAATGCAATTCTTTCTGTATCTTTATTTAGTGAACCAAAATATTTAAAATCATTATCATTTATTGCACGACGTAGTGACAATAAATTCGATCGAAAATAATCGCTCACATCGGTGTCTGCCATTTTTTGTTTCTTTCTGTGTGCACTAAATTTTTCTTTTTATTTAAAAAAAAATGTTTGCAATTAATATTAAAACAAAACAAAAAAAATTTACAGGAAAAAAATAAACATAATTTTATAAAATAATGTAACAAATGTAAAAATGAAATCAACAATTTTAAAATTCTATAATTTCTTGACGGTGGATGATTTTAAACTGGCTTTTATGCTATAGAGCAGACACTATTTTGGTGCATCTATTTTCAAACTAATCACAGAATCACTGGAGGGGAGTTACAAAATGTAAAATGTAAAAGATTTCACTTTCCTTTTTGAAAACGAAAGTATTTATCTATTTATGTACCGGTAAAAAATTCATTTTTCCGTATAGAATTTAAAAACATTTGAATTTATTAAAAAAACTATATTTATATTTTGAAACTTTAATTATTTTTTTTAAAGATTTTTAGAATTAATAAACAATGAAAAGAGATTCTTAGAAGATTAAATTTATTTTAAGTACAATATATACAAATCTTAATAACTAGGCAATTTTTCAATGAATCAGAAGTAACTAAATAATCGGTTAACTTCCTTTAAAAGAGGCAGAGATTTTTTTTCTCACATATTCAATTATCTCAGTCAGTCAAAAAATTTTAAATACATTTTTAATAAAAAATACCTATCATTAAAAATTTTTTTTTTTATTTTTAAATGTAATTTTCATTTTTTTCGCTCTTTGATTTTCAAGACTGAAAATTTATTTTACCAAAGTTTCAAAAGTATAATATAAAAAAATTTTAATAAAAAGAATTCTATTTGTTTTCAAAAAAAAAATTTTAAACTTCAAATATATTTATGGCAAAATCGTAGATAAAATTCTTGTTCAAATAGACATAGTTTTTATAATGAAAATATACAAAAAAAGACTGAAAAATACTATAGAAATAAGTAATTTGAAAATTTCAAATTACTTACTTTAAAATTACTACTTTCATATTACTTTGAAATTTCATTTCAAATTTGTCTTTCAAAAATATTAAATTAAAAATTATTTACTTATAAATAGAAATAGTTTTAAAAAAAGGGTATTTATAATTACATCTGAGAAGAAACTTTTGTTTCCAAGAAATACTGAAATCTCGTAAATCACAATTAAGGATTCTACGTGTGATGTAACTTAAAAAAAAATTAATAATTTAATTAAATATTTTTCTTTGCTCATTATTTAATTTCTTGCCAGCAAGAAATTGTGAAATAATACGAAATTTTTTTACATTCAATCTCCGTGTTTCATTGATATTCTTTTTTAAAAAAAATTTGTTTTTGATTTAATACTAAATTTAAATTTTTTGAAATTTATTTAAAAAGAATATTGCTTCAAATAATTTATATTTCATAAATAGTGATTTATCTTTCTTTGACATTCAATTCTCTCCTTTTTTTCGAAAAATCCCTAAATTGTGAGCTACGAGTGTGAAAAGTCTCAATTATATTACTTTCTCTATTTTTTCCATCTTGTCATATTAAAATCAAAATTTCAATTTTAATAATTTCCCATTTTTATTCGGACAAATAAAATTTTTTCATTTAGATGAATTGAAAAATAGAGAAAAAATAAAAATGCGACTTCAAGATTCAAAATTAAATAATAATAATAATAATATTAAAAAAAAGAATATGATTGTATTATCTTAAAAATCGTAGGAAGCTTCATCTTCGTCTTTGCTTCTCGCCTTAAATCCCATTCTGTAGATTGCGCCAGCCAAAATGCCACCAAGAATTGGTCCAACCCAATAAATCCATTGATATCTCCAGTCTCCCAAAATCACAGCTGGACCAAGAGAACGTGCTGGATTCATACTGCTACCAGTTGCTGGTACAACGGCCAAATGACAAACAGTGATTGTTAATCCAATTGCAAGTGGTGCCCATCCACGGCAATCGTGTCTTTTTGGATCAGTAACTGCATGGACCACAAGCACCAATAAAAATGTAATAATCGCCTCAATCAAAATTCCCTGTCCACTTTCAACTTTTGCATTGAGTAGAGTCAATCCCAATGATCGATTCGTCAATTCCGAAGGAAGTGCCATCTGCGAAAAAATTTTTTTTAATTAATTTAAATAAACATTAAAATTAAATTGATACATTTTTTTAATTAAAAACAAAATAAATTTATCAAGAAATTAACAAAATTAATAAAAAGGTAATAAAAAAAAGAAAATTATAATAAATAAAAGAAATCGCATAAATTGTTTTAAATCGAATTAATTGTGAATTAAAAAAATTTCTGTTAAAATATATATTCTCGGGGAATTAATTTTCTCCTTTTTTTAGATTTCGTTGATTTTAAATATTTTTTTTCTGCAAAAAAAAAATCAGAACGTTGATAAATATAATTATATTTGATACAAACATTCTTGGGTGCAAATGGGGACTTAATTATATATTTATTGACCAGTAGATTGACCAGTTTCTGATGTAACGGATTTTTTACACGCGGGACAATTCCCTCCCAAGGAAATCAGAACTCTCTCAACCTTGACCTTGTACAATGACACTTTAATTAAGTAACTTGTTCTCCAAATTCCTTCATCCCCCTCACGTGTAAAATAATCCCCTTTTTTTTTAATCAATTAATTCACATAATTATTTTTCTCTATTTAAAAAGAAAAATTAATTTAAAATATCAAAAATACAATCTAATTTCACAATTTTTCAAATAGTCACAAAATTAATATATTAATTAAAATAAAAAATAATTAAAAATAAACTAAAATTCTGTTTATTCCAGATTAATTTTCTGAATTTATTTGAAAAATTAAATCATATAATTGTTTTTAACATTTCTTTGAAGTGAATAAAATTTAAAAAAAAATTTTTTTTCCAATAAATCAGAAAACAAAAAAAAGATTTACCTTTAATACACCAGCTCCTGCAATTGCTCCGCAACATTGACACACGACATAGCATAATCCTCGAAGTATGGTGCAATTTCCACTAACAACAAGACCCAATGTCACTGCCGGATTAATATGACATCCGGAAATTGGTCCCAGAACCTAAAATAAAATTTTTAAAAAAAGTTAACAAAAAATCGGTATTTTTTTTAATTTTAAAAAATAAAATTTTAAACTATAAAAAAAATATTGAAAAAAATCAAAAAATGTATTTAAACGAAAAAATATGATTACAAAAAAAAAATATACCTGTATTTAATCTTTCGTTTCATTTAATAGTAGCAGATCACTTGTCAAGGTTTTTCTCGTATTTTCTTCTATTCGGGTGAAATCTGCGATCGTGAATCGATTCCCGAATGAATAATTCACGATTGAGTATGTTGTAATTTGTAATCATTGCACATAAACAAACATTTCATCAAATTTGGGGTCCTTTTTCTCAATATATTTTTTTATTTTATTTTAATAAAAGATATTGAAAAAAAACTATTTTTCTAATTAAAAGAAATATTCCGCTTCTGGAATTTTTTCACATTTGTTAATTAATTTATTACTTTATTTTTTATTTTTTATTACATATTAAAATTAATTGTAAATTCTAATTTTTTTATATTATAATTAATAATAATATTGCACTGGTCGTAAATATATGAATAAATATTATATGGGGGGGAAAAATTCTCATTTTGAGAGGTGAATCCTCTAATATTGAGAATATTTTTTTTTCTTCGAAAATAAAAAAATGATCAATGAAAATGAGTGGGCTTAATTAAATAATTTTAGATTCCTAGAATCAATAAAGTGTGGAAAAAAAATGATTTGGGTCCGATGGACCCTAAGAGATGCTGGTGGGGTCCTGTGGCCCAGTTCTCATGTTGGCAAGGTCTTCCTTTGCCCTAGGCTCTTTAGAATACGCATACACATTTGCCGACGACTTGACGCAATTACGTAATTCCTCTCCTTTTTTTTTATTTTTTTTTTACACAACATGTCCCCATAAACAGAAAATTTCCATTCTATTTTATTAAAAAAATTTTTTTGATTACCTTTCTGTTTTTTGAAAATTATTATCAGGTATAATTTTATCCCCCCAAAAAAACAGTGCAATATTTATAACATTTTTTTTCAATTTTGAATTTTTTTTTTTTATTCATAAATAAAATTATTATTTAATTATTTTAATTAATAAATAAATATTTAAATAATATAAAATTAAATTTTCACTGAATGTCAATTAACAAATATATGGAAAAATAGCCTTTTTTTTTATTTTTAGAACTAAGTAACTTTGTAGATTCTTTTAAGACATATTGGTATTGCTCTCTTTTCTATATATTTAATTACAAATCGTTTATTGCTTTTAGCTATCACTTATGACAGGTGTTCAAGACTATACGCAATAATTTTATAGGAGAAAAAAAAGAAATAAAACGATATCCTCTCAGGATTTTATTGCAATTGCAAAATAGTAATAAACAATTATTTATCACTATTAAAGTGTAGCTAAGTTTCTGTTTAGAATTTTTTTTTCTTGCTTCATTTCATTTTATATTATTTCAAAAAAAAAAAAATTTTTCTTTTACTTTTTAATAAATTTTGCGGTTTACTGATAGAAAAATTTAATTAACGGAAGAACTTTATGTAATTGAGATTTTGTAACAAAAAAGTCGTTGCAATGCGGAATTGCATTTTCATAACGATATTATTATTAAAAAAAATCTAATTTTACCAAAAATAGACCCAAAAAATTTTTTTTTTAAATTATTCAATTATAATTTATACAATTATTTATTATTTATAATAATAATTATAATAAAAATAGCACTAACAATAATAATAACAATAATAATAAAAATTATTGTTATATAGGTAAGGAATTGAAAAATATTACTCATCTTGATTTTTGATAGATGATTTGTTATTATATTAGACATTAAATTCATCATTGACGTAATTTCGAATAAATTTGATTCGATTGACCTTGGCCATGAAAGACATTTTGATGAGTTGAAAGATGGAAAATAAAAAAAAAATAATTGAAGTAATTTAGCGATAACTATATAATTGTTTTCTGTGAATATCAAAACATTAGATCTTTTGATAAATTATAAAAATCTAATTTACATTTTTTGTATTTTCAAACATATTATGCGATTTATTATTTTAAAAAAATCTAATTATTCTTATTTTAAAAGGAAGAAATTATTTTAAATTTATTAAAAAAAATTTTTTTTCACAAAAAAAAGAAAATAAAAAGTTTCGAATAAAAATTTTGTCATTCAGAAAAAATTTTGATTGCTGTTTTTTATATTGAGCTGATAATAAATGGATAAATGTGTGACAATTAGGTTGAAAATTTAAACTTTTCAGAAGGGAATTATTTACTTTTTTAGACCTTGACCACGCGCAGGATATATCATACTGATGTATATTTACATATCCTCAGGCTAGGATGTTGCAAATCATGATTTTCTTAAAAAAAAAAATAAATATAAAGTCGAAACTGAATTGATGCTGATGGCAATAAATATAGGGTTTGCTGAAAAGGCTTAAGAGAACTTAATAATAAATCCACATATTGGGAATATTATATCTCATTTATAATATAAATGAAAAATCTTTCATTTTCAATTTTATTTTCCAATTTTGTTTTTTCAGTAAGCTGACTAATTTTTAATTTTTTCCCTGCTCGAAAATTCCATTTTTGGCAAAAAAAATCGAAATTTCTTCACTTTAATATATTAATTTGATAATTAATTAATTACTATTAATATAACTTTTTTTAATTTTATTATAAATATCATATTAAATTATCGAAATTTTTAATTAATTTTAATAAATTAATTACTTTTAATTTCTGATAATTATTATAGATTTCCAAGTAAAAATTTGTTTTATCTCGCAATTTCTTCCTTCAGTAAAAAAAAGATTCAAAAGAAAAAAAAATTGTGGGTATAATGTATGAATAGAAAATTGAATTTCAAAGTAAAAGACATAGCGTTTGACGCATGTAAATGAACGACATGCTTTTAATAATGAAACCTTTTGGGAGATAAAAAAAAAATGCTATGAGTAATTCGGCGTTTGTCTTTTATTTTTTTTTCTTTTTAAGTGCGTGTGCTTATGCAATTTGATATAACATCTGGAGAAACAAAAACACTGCCTCGGGACTCTAGGGCCCTCAATTTTTTTTTTTTTTTTTTGCTCTATTAATACACCTTTTTTTCGCGAATCATAATTAATCCAATTTTGATTCCGCAGAACTAGTCGCGTTACGAAAGAGCGAAACCTTTTGAATCATTCATAACATTAATAATAAGTGTCAAAATCAAACTTATGTACACATGAATCATTATAGAGTTGCAAAATTGTTCCAGATAATGGGAGAAAAAATAAAATAGTGATAATAGATTTTTTTTTATCGAAAATTAATATTGTTTTTGAAAAAAAGAAAAATTTATATTCATTTATATTTTTTGTATAAAACGTTTTTTTTTATTCAGAAAAAAGAAAAAATAGTGTTTAATATTACAAAAAACATTTTTGCAAATACCTAAATGCATTTCATTTCCGCCAGTCAATAATAATTGACCTTATTTACCTAAAGAACATTCCATTTCAAATGATAGATATTTCATTTAATAATTTTTTTTTTTATAAGATTTTAATTTACTTTTCAATTATTTTAATTTATTTTTAATTAATTAATACACTAATAACAAAAAATCACTAATAAACTAATAAAAAAAATTTATTGTAGTATATTTTTTTCTGTCAAATAATTTTACTTTTGTAACAATCAATATGGTTAGTTTTTATTAAAAATTAATTAATTTAAATAAAATAATAAAATTATTATTAATAATAAATATTTTTAAAGTGTCATTGACAATTATTTTTATATATTAATTTTTATATAAATTATATATTTATACAATTAATTTTTGAATAAAAATAAATATAATATAACAAAATTAAAGAATAATGTCAATATTCCTGAATTTCACTTGAAATGGAATGTCCCAATTAGAAAGAACAAATTTTTTAAAACAGTCGGAAAAAATTGACTTGATAATTTTTGTATTATACGCTAAATATTTATTCATATATTTCATAAAGTGGAAAATTTCACTTTCAGTTTTGTCTCCAATTTGTTAACATCCGTTTTTCGTTTTTACGAATTTTAAAAAATTATTTCTTGTTACATTATAATATTTGTTTACAACATAAAAAATTACTAAATATATAGAATTAAAGAAAAATAATTAGTTTTAAAAATTAAATTTAAATTATAAATAAATAAATAAAAGATAGTGTCGGTTTTTTTTTCGTTGAAAATATATAAAAAATGAGTAATAATGAAAAAGATATATCAACATTTAAGAAAAAATGGAATAGTTTAACAAATGATATAATTTGGAAATTTGTTTTCGTTCATGCATTGTGGCACTCTATTGCTATTTATGGATTTTTCACATTTCCTTATTTATCTCATAAATTGACCTTTTTATGGAGTATGTGTAATAAATATAGATATAAAAAATGAAAATTTTAAAAAATGTTCTATTTTTCTATTATTTTTTTTAGTGATTATTTATTATCTCTATGTTGCTTTTGGAATAACCGGCGGTGTTCACCGTTTTTGGACTCATCGAGCATATAAAGCTAAACTACCCCTTCGATTATTTTTGGCTGGTGGATATTACAGTTCAGGCATAGTAAATATTTTTTATTTATTATTCCTATTTTTAGAATTATTATTATTATTATTATTATTATTACTATTTTTATTATTCTTATTAACTAATTTTTTATTAATAATTGTAATGAATAATTTTAAAAAATTAATTAAATTATTATCAAAAAAATTTCAAATTAGTAAGAAACAAAATTTTTGTAATTTAAATTAAAGTTCGGAATATACGATTGGGTTAAAATACATAGAGTGCATCATAAATACACGGATACAGATGCCGATCCACATAATGTGAGTCGTGGATTTTATTTTGCCCATATTGGCTGGTGGATGAAAAAAAAGAATCCAGAATATTATAAAAGATTAAAAGAAATTGATATGAGTGACATAAAAGCAGATGCAGTAGTAACATTTGGTGACAAGTAAATATTAATTAAATATTTTATTTTTTTTTCTCAATTTTTTTTTTTTTTTTGAAAATGCAAAAAATATTAAATATATATTTTTTTTCAATTTTATTAGACATTTTTATATATTAACAATTTTATTGGGTTTCGTTTTACCGACACTTGTGCCAATAATTTTTTGGAAAGAAAATTGGTATTACGCGATTTTATCACAAGTCTTTATGCGCTTTGTAATGATTTTAAATGCAACTGGTTTAGTCAATAGTGCAGCTCATATGTTTGGATCAAAACCATTTAACAGGTAATAAAATTAATTAATTAAATAATTAATAAAAATGAATAAAATTAAAAAAAAAATATTTTATAATATTGAACAAATGAAAATTATTATTAAATGGTAATTTTCTTTTTAAAATAGAAATATTGTGCCCTGTGACAATCCATTTGTTTCGATTATATCAGTTGGAGAAGGATGGCATAATTATCATCACGTTTTTCCCTATGATTATCGTACAGGTGGAATTGGAAAATATGATTTTAATTTCACAACATTTTTGATTGATCAATTTAAAAAAATTGGCTGGGCTTACGATTTGAAAACAGCAAGTGACGATCTTATTATAGCGACAATGAAAAAAAGAGGCGATGGCAGTTTCACTACTGAAATGTGGAAAGAAATTCCTGAAAGCTAAATAAATTTCAAATAAAATTCTATTGTAGAAAAAATTGTTTTTTCTTTTATTAAATATTTTAATATATAAAAAAGGTAAAAATTATAAAATAAAAAAAAGAACACCTCTTCGCGAATCAACAATACTCTAGAATGCTTAACCCGTTTGAAATTGAGCTAAATTAAAAAAGGAAAAAAAATTTTTTTTTCCTATATAGACAAAAAATGGAAATGATTTTAAATTTGAAAAAAAGTGATAATTTGCGAGAAGTAAAAAAAAAGTGAATCATGCCAAGAACTTGAAGAGTCAAAGTGTCTGGGAATGACTGGGGCAAGTATATTATAAAGAAAGAGAAGGAATGAATTGTTCATACCTTGGGGGCAAAATTGCACAATTCTCAACAGTTAAAACCCCCTTGGGCGAATCCACGGCCTTATTTACCCTTCTACCTACATGCGATTGTCAGATTGTATATATAGTATATATAATACTCGTCGGTTACATTTTTAACTATCACCGCAGTTAACTATACGCACTTCAGAAATGATTCATTAGTCATCTGCCATTTTTGACGAATCAAGTCTAGAACTCCTATTTCAATCACTGAATAATAATAACAATAAAATAATGAAAATAATATTTTCTTCTCATTTTTTTTTTTTACACAAAAGTATTTTATAGATAAAATACTATTATGTTAATTTTAAATTATAAAACGCTTAAAATTTCAAAATTTTTCAATATTTGCAAAAATTTGTTTATTGGGAAAATTAAAATGAAATACTTAAAAAAAAAGTTGGAATAACGTCTTGGAAATTTTTATATTGTAATGAATTGCGCCATTGAAATTACCAAGTGTATTCTTATATTATATATACGAATCGTTTCAGATCCTTGTATTTATAAACGCCGATTATTATCAGGTGAGATTTATAACTATGAACTTGAAAATGTTTTTAATGAGAGTTGAGCTACCAAAATCATTGACTTTTATTACACTCCTGATTTAAATAGTAACAAGGATTAAATGTAAATTAAATATATTAATTTACATTAATTATTCTTTAATATAATGTGAAAAAAATAATTAAATAATAATAAAAAAAAATCCAAGAATATTTTAAGTTAATAAAATAAAAAATATAAAAATTATACAAAAGAAAAAAAAATAGAACCGAAATTTGAATAAAAATAGTAATCATTTCATGAAAATAAATTCACTTCCGGATTTTAATCAAAGGACGCACTAAAACGTGACACAATAAATGAACTTGTTTTTAAATACATTTCCCTAAATTTTAAAATGCTATTGTATACGTTAACCTTGAATTGTAAAATTCTTTTAAAAAGTAAATTCTCTGATATACCTACAAAAGCTGCAATCATTTTTTCAACTGTATTTCGTAAGTTATGCAAATTTAAGATAACTCACTTTACTGATTACAAGTGTCAAACAAAAAAAAAAGATTTTTTCCAAAAATATATCTCTGAAATAACATCTTTAAATTAAGAGCTTTGGTCAAAATAAATTTTGGGATTGTAGTCATTTAATGAAACAAAGACTCAATACTTCGGTAAAGAAGTGTGTGATTAAATTTTAAATTACATTCTTCCTCAAATATTATATTTACTAAAATTCCACTTCCTTATTTCGTGCTGGTTTAAATTAAAAAATAAAATAGATTCATAATCTTTTTGATCGTTAGTTCTGCTCATTATTACAAAACTTTTTTTTTATATAATTTTTTTTACCCATCCATTATATTTTTGGATAGTAATTGTTTTCAGTAAAATTAATGACTATATCATTATTATCAACAAAAGAAATTGGTTGGTATATATAATTTATGGAAAAGATTAGATTCATGAGGTGTCTTAAATAGTCACGTTTTTTTTTTTGTAACTTTGCATTTTTTTTAAATCAATGATATAAAATATAATTTATTACGTTATAAGGAAATAAATAATAAGAATTTATGTTATTCGTTTTCTAAATATATTTAATTTTTGGATTTGATCCTTGAAAGAATCTAAATAGAAAATTTTTATTCTTTATCTTAGTTTAAATGGAAATTCATAATTTGAAAAAAGGGTATATACTTCCGGTACAAAAAGAAAAAAAGAAGTAATTGAATTTCTAAATGAAAGTTTTCAGTTTACGAAAGAAAGCAATCATTTTCGTAATTTGATTTTTTCTTTTCCATCAGGAAGAATAAAAAGAAAATGCAAAGTCGAACACAACTTTGATTGTGGAAAGTATGTAATCATCGATATTGTACGGCTAAATAGTATTATTTTTATAATAAAGCTGTTGGTCAATACTTTTATTATGCGCATTTATAAAAAAAGACATTTATAAATTCATAATTTAATTTTCTTCATAATATTTTTTTAAATAATTCTTTTAATTATTCAATTTTTGATATCAATTTTATCAAAAATATTTTCTCTTAGCAAGTTCATTAAAATAATTATTGTTAATATTTAAATAATTTGTTTGTCTGCTCGCGAAATAAATAAATAATTTCAATTAAAATTTGTTTAAACATACCTGGGCAAGAGTTGCAACTGCCAGACCAAATGTGAAAGCAATATGAAAAACAGTTGGATCGGCCGCTGTACCAATAATGCTCCATGAGATGCATGAAGCGCAGCCAATCAGAACAAGTAAAAATGTTCCCAATGCTTCGGCAAAAAGTGGCACCAAAAATTCAATTTTCGATACCTCTTCGAGACCCACAAAGTCCTTTGTATCTGAAATCAAATACAAATTGAAATTATTATTACGTATTTTACATTTGCATCAATATTTAAATTTTAATCACTAAAGTAAAAAATTAATTATATTTTTAATGTTGAATCTGACTTTAGCCGTAATCATTAAGGCGTTTAGTAGTATGAATTAGGTTTAGATTCCGTGTCCTGCGTTCGAATCTCCTCACAGATAAAATTTTAATTTATCATAAATTACAAGACAAAGACTTTGATATGTAAAAATAATTTATAAATTATATTTATTATTTATAATAAACTTATTTATTATTTTTTACAAATAAATATTTTAATATTATTATTTTTTTATCATTTTTTTAATATTTTATTTTTATTATTAAAAAATTTTATTAATTCATTTAACAATGGAATTTCAATTTCCCATAAAAAAAATAAGAACGCAGTAGTATAATTAGTTTATTTTGAATTAAAAAAATTGTCGGTATAAAATAATAATTGTCGATAATTTACGTGGACCTTGAAAAATTAAAATGACTGTTAAAATATATTTTAATGATTATTCGATTGTGTGAGAGTATATATATATTGTACCTTCGTTTTCTGTGAAATAAAACACTTTCACTCATTCGTGCACGCGCCACAACGATTCATTGGATGATCGTCGCGAATGATAAAAATGTCTTGGCAATTTTTCAAACTGATTGATTGTAACTTGATCAAATCGATTGAGAATCTAGTCAATCAAAGTTATAAAAACATTCTCTCATATAGAGATTCTGTAACAATCATAATAATAACTGTCTCTTTGTTATATATACCATTGATTTGTAATTGATAGTCAAAATCGATTTTAAAATCATTACAATATTTATACAGATTGACAAATGAGAAGTTGAAGTGAAATTTAATGTAACTTATATTTTTATATAAAAAAAACCATTGTCAAATTAATTAAAAATTGCTTTCCAAATGTTGAAACAAATTAAATTATTTATTTAAACAAATAAACATTATAATTAATAAAAATAACAAATATAAAAAATAATTAAATTTTTATTTATTATTATATTTATAAATAATTATCTTTTTTATTTATGTAAATGAAAAATTAATTTTTTCTTTTTTTTAAATTATTTAAATTAATATTTATCGAAAATTGTTTCTAATTGGAATCAATGTCTTTATGTCTAAGTTGCAAATTGCATCCGATAATGTCATTAGCATGCAGTAAATAATTTCAATCGAAGAACGACCTCACTGCTATAATTGGTTTCACGGTTTTTATTTTTTTTTTGTTTAAAAATTAAAAATTACCACCTCTCAATATCATTCACTATTTTTTTTTCTTCAAAAATTTAAAAATTTGTCAAAAATAATTATTATTTATAAACAAAATATGATTAAAATTATTAACTATAGAAAAAAATTTACTTATTTAGAAAATAATTATCTTGAACGAAAATCACATTTCTATTTGTTTTTATTTTTGTAATGCGCAGTTCATTTTACATAAATTTTTTGCCAATTACTAACTTTTTTTTTAACTAACACATTATAATTTTTCTAAACCAAAAGCACTAAGTCATTAAGTGCATTTCATTATTTTTATTATTTTTAATAATAAAAATTACCTCAGCAAAAATAATTTTTTTTTTACTTATAATTATAGAATAATTTTGTATAATACTAATTATATTATTTATATAATAATAAATAAATAAAAATTTAATTTAAATAAAATAAATATTAAAATAAAAAAAAAATTATATTTATAATATTAATTAAAATTAATTCGTGTAAATAAATTAAATAATGAAATAAAATTGTAACTGAATTGAAGAAGGGAAAATATATATATATATATGTATATAACTTTGAATCAAGGCTCCAAGGAGTCTGGAGTGAATTTTTCGGCATTTTTACCGGCCTCTATTGATCTCTTTTTAGGATCAGTCTTTCCTTGTCTCTTTCTCTTAATTCACCTTGAAATGAGAAGTTAAAATATATATTTAAAATTCACAAAGATTCTTCCAAGTAGAATATTTGCAATGTACTTTAATTTGTGATTTGCATATTTAACAATCGGTTTCGTAATAGTTTTAAAACACATAAAACATCTAAACTATAAAAAAAGAAACATCTCACGCGATAAATATGTTTCATTAAAAAATTGAAATCAATCGATAAAAGCTATGAATTTTTAAGCATCAAAAAAATTTATTTTTTTAAATCTCAATTTAGAAATTTTATTTTCATTTATTTATCTATAATATTTCAAAACTATTAATTTATTTACTCTTATAATTTTTTCTTTTATTTTTACAATATAGAAAATAATTTTACAATTTTTACAATAAAGAAAATATATTTCACACATTTCTCTTAAAATTAGAATTTTGTTAAAATTTGAAATAAATTTTTCCATAATGATTTTATTAAACTTGCAAGAAGAAAAATAGAAAAATATTTTTGAAATTTCTTACAATTTTATATAAACTGTTATCACTTTTTTGTAATTTATCTATAACATCTGTTCTCCAGACATTATTTAACTTGTTTTACATCATCAATTATAATTTTATCATCGATCATTAGTTAATATTTTGTTTCAAAAAATATCTACCTTCTAATCGATATAAATTTAAAATTTCAAAAATTAATACAAAAATTATTAATATTTATTATTATACAAATAATAATAATAATAAATATTATTTTTTTTTAACTGAAAAAATTTTAATTTTTTAATTGTATAAAAAGGAATATAAAAAAGTTTATCCCGTTTGTATAAAAAATAAAATATTTTCCGATATTAAATAAGATTCCTATATATAGTAAAACATGTGAAAAAAATGTCAAAATTTGTAATTCGAAATGAAAATTTTTTTGATTAAACAATCAAAATTGTTGCCTTGACACAATCTAATTCCCATGAAAAATAATATAAAAGAATCTATTTAGATTATTCTATTGTAACATTTGTCCAGTCACTCTCGTGTTTACAAATCCAAAAAGTCATCATCTCTTATGCAAAAATTTAAAAAAAAACCAACCTTTCCAAGATTTGCTCATCTTGTTAATTTCAAAACACCGGCACTTTTTTTTAATAAATAAAAAAGCTAAACAATTCGCACTCTTGTCTTTTTTTAATCACAAAATACCTATTAAAAAAGTCACACTATATTCCTAAATATATAAAATTATAAACAATAAATAATCCACAAGTCATAAACACTATCAGTGAAAAAAAAAAATTCTGAATTAAATCCTCCTGCTTTTTTTTTAAATATTCAAAAGTGTCATTTCTGATTTTCTCAGTGATAATTTTTATTTTCTTTTTTTTTTTAATGGGGTCAGGTAAATTCGACAATCACAACAAGGGTTTCTGGGCTAAATTGAATGCGAGAGTCGTGTGTTTCGCGTTCATATATCGCGTTTTAAATCCCCCCCTTATCCCCACCACTGAGAAATCACCCACTCCGTTTAAAAGAGATGACCCCCCACTCTATTCTGGACCATTACTATATTTATATTTTTCAAGATTCAACCCTGAAGTATAATATGAAAAAAAAATAAATAAAAAAAAAATATCGAAATAATGAACGAAATATTTTATTGATTCAAGTAACCAAACAGTTTCATTGAATTACGTATATATATATATATATAGTGTATATACACGCTTGAATGAAGAATTAATGAGATGATATTGTGCGCGCGGTGAATGTCTCGCGGGAAAGGATTGTCGTTTTTTACTGGAAGCTCCACGTGCTGCGGTGGCAAAACGTCACGTGAGAGAGTGCGAACTTGTGGGGTACAGATAAGGTAACCACTCAAATGTTAATTAGTCCTCAACAAATTGCAATATTATCCCACTAATTTTTGTTCCAACATTTTTTTTTCAATTCCTTTTGTGTTATAGAGAGAAGAAAAAAATTAGAGAGAGAAATTTCGAGAATGACAAAATATTCTCAATTTAAGATTGTATTCTTTTAGAATATTTTCTAAAAGAAATTTTGTCTAAAAAAAATATTTATTCTAAATAATATTCTTAAATTTCTAATATATATTTTTATTTAAAGAATAATAATAATAATAATTCTAACAAAATTATTTTCTCTAATTTTTAAATTAAAAAAAAACAATTTAGCATAAATATAACAGTAAATTATTTTTTTCTTCTTCTGAAGATGTTCTCAATATTCTCTAAAACTGCATTTCTCGACACACACACAATTGGGTATCGTATATTTTTATACCAGATAGAGAAGATAATATTGCATAATATTCGCGTATATAATACTCAATCATCACCATCATAATTTATAATCTCTGTATATATATATAATTGCAGTATAATTTTCTTCTATATTTGATCTCTTTCAAATATAGTTTTAAAAATATTTAGCTCAAATATATAGATATATAGAACTATTTATACATTGAGAAAAAAATTTATTTGGTTCAAATAATTAATTATTAATTATTAATTATTGACTCCAATAATAATTATTTGATACAAATAAATATTTATTAAATAATTAAAAATATAAATAAATATGAAAAAAAGAAATATTAAAAACAAAATTTTTAATTTAAAAAATAATTATTAATAAATAAATTTAAAAATTTATACGGGCAAAGACTTTTGGTTGACAAATTTTTTTTTTTTTTTGAGAAAAAAAAGGAACCAAGGTTCGAAGCATTTCTCATTCTTCCAACTTTTGAGGTTTTGAAAGTATTTAAAAGTAACAAAAGAAGAAAAGTCTCTTGGTAACCTTCAAACTCTCTCATTTAGCGGTAACTTTGATTCAAAAGATGAGCTTTTTTTTGACCCCGGGGCACATCCGTTTACATCTTCATAAATCATCATAAGAGTGAAGATATGGAGAACGCGACGATATTTTTGTTAAAAAGAAAAATAAGAATTCTAAGTAATTGCATTTCGCAATATTTCTTAATAAAAAAAAAAATTGTAACTTTCAATATTTATAAATAATAACAATTTTTCGTTAATTAAC